AAAGGGGCTTAATGCACTACAGTTGTCGGAAAATGGACAAAACTTGGGAAGATTATACAATGATGCCATATTGAAATTATAAGCTTACAGGGAGATATGTAATGTTTCCCATTTGTTCTATCAACTGTTTCTCATTCTCACATAGCACATGGGAGTTCTAAGTTTTCTATGATTGGTCTATTGTGATTGTAATGAAAACATAACCACTCAACATATTTAAATGTGTATAGACATGATTGATTTTGGTGGAAAATTATTCAAATTGCCTAATTTACATACCAATATTTAGGCTATTTTGGTGTTATCTTGAGAACCATTTAATATGTTTTAATAAAACTTGGTGCATAGATGTGTTGGGACAGTTTCCAGATATATATTTAGTTTTTGGTGGACATTTATGCAAATTAACTAATTTGCATATCAGCTAGTGAAATTCAAGCTATTTTGGTGCTATTTCAAGAACCATTCAACATATTTCAACAAAACTTGGTATATACTGTACATGTATTACGAATTCAGATAATTGCAAACATCATGTTATGTTATTCTCTCAACACGCTAGAGTTCTTTTTAAGCTCTATTTGATTCTAATTTTATTGAATATTTCTGTTATTTTTGTAAAAAATTCCACTTTTAGCATTATGTGTTATTGTCTCACTCACTGCCTTTTGGGGTATTTGTCATATACAGCACTAATGTTTTGTACAATAGCCGTTGAGCAACAGGCCATTGGCCTATTTTTGTGAAATACATTGTTTTTTAAAACTGTTTAAAATATGTTGCTGACTTCTCCTGGGGTTGCATGTATATTGTTTATTTGACTTTTTATATTTCTGTCCTTTCCTTGCCTGTTGCTAGTTAACGCATACGCAAATAGAATTACATTGCGTCTGTGGGTAATTAGGGTATCTGAAATTGTATCAAATAGAGCAGCTGGTTGTCAGAAACGAGTATTTATGTATGACCCACACATTTTATGTTAAACTGCAGTTTTAAATCTCTTGTTTATCTGAAGGACTCTAATCATCTGAAAAGCCGTCAGGAATGGACAGGAGATTTGAGTAAACTGCGTAACAACCATGAGCAAGTCATAGCTAAATTAGCAGCTACTGAAATCACGCTAGAAGCCAGCGTTAAAGAGAATGATATCTTGAGATTGGCGATGAAACAAAGAGATGCAGAAGTCACAAGGATGAAAGTATTAAATGAGTATGTTTAGTATAAATCTTATCACTTCTTTTATGACTCTCTCACACATGTATTCTCAAAAAGACACCAGACAAAAAGTCAGAAAATGTCTTCCTAAAACCATTGTTGCTTGTGATTGGTCCTTGCACTGTTCATTCCGTGGCTATGTCTTCTACATCTACATAACACATTCACCAGTGTAGCCAATTTTGATTTGAATATTTCACCACCAGTTCCCTCTTTTCATCAAAAATTCACAAAATAGTTCTGTTTATAGTCTGCAATTTCTTTCAGGGGATTGGGACTAAAATTGCCAAATTTTTGGAGTAAAAATTGATTCAAATTTTGTCTGTCAAAATTAGGGTCCAGAAATATTGAAGAATATAAGAAAAAGTGCTAAACAATTTGGGTGAGAAAGTCTGGTTATGAAAAGATTTAGTGGATTTGATTTTACAGAGTCTTATAGTTTTATATAGTCATTTCAAAAGATGCTTGATACTCTGTTTTCAAAAATTTTTAAATGGGGATATGGTTTATATTGAAAACAAAACGTTATTTTAGTAGCAAACATAGGTATTCCTTGGATGAAATACTGAAAAGTTTTTCATTATCTGTATGTATTGGTAAATCAGGCACACATGTGTATCAGTGTTTTTTATTAAGCTATTTTTTGTACATTGGCTACTAAAACAAAGCTTTTATTTCATGCAAAAATCATCCCTTCATGTTTTTATCAAAAGATGCTCAAAATATTAAATTCAGTTAACATAAAATTCAACAATTCAAAAACTGAAAAGTTTTGAGATTGAGATATATATTCACTGGATTAAATTTTAGTAAAAATAATGGGGTATGGCTCATCATGAAATTAAAACATTGTTTTAAAGCGAGAGGGTCGTCACCTGTGCATGCGTGGGAATTGATTCCCAAGCGACGATAACAACACACGCTAAAAACGCAAAGGCTCATTGGTATATGCTTGTTTGTAAACAATGACACGCTACGGTCATTTGACGCATGCACAGGTGACTACTCCCCTGCTTTTGTAAATGTAGATATTCATTGGATGAAATTATGAAAACACAAGTTTTTCATTATCTGTATGTATAAAGATATTCCCTGATTTGTGAAGCAACAATATATTTTTTTGTCAACGTTGTCATATTCACTGGGTTTTAATTTAGCTATAAGCAAAATATGTAAAAAATAAAACCAAATGAATAATTGAGATCATTTTACACCCATCTGTGATCATCATGTATTTGTACATTTGCTGTTTTTTGTGTTTCACTGTAATATGTAACGGTACATGTACACGTACTGTTCCTTGTGTGTTGTAACACATTTGTCTATATCAACAGGGATCTTCAACAGAGTGTCAGTAACCTTCTACTTGACTTAGAATCCCACAAACCAAGTGAGAGGAGCAACTACTGGAGTGTACCGCAAGATTCTATGCAAAGATTGGAGCGGTTACTCAGACCGAACCCTCCCACAAGGTAAAGAAAATGTTGAATGTGTATTATAGTGTACCACTGCTTGTATCTTGATACTTAAAGCAGTAATTTTACACAGGGTTTAAATTTCAATTAAATTAAATCTACTTTCTAATTAAATTTATATGAGCATGTAAAATTAATGTAGAACTCATTGTTTCACTAGAAAACCCATGAATTTAAAACCCATTGAATATGCTCAAAATATAAAAATACTGGGAGGTACAGGTGGATCAAAATAGCTGCTCATGATATGACAGATTATGATAACTATATTTTCTGTACATTTTTGATGTATTACATGTGAGACATGTTTTATTGTTTTGTTACAAACCTTGAACATTGATATATGTCATGTCAGAAGATCGTAGCATCAGTCTCAGTCTCGCTATCTACAAGATGAGACTTGAATGGGATCTTGACATGATGTCGCCCTACAGAACTATGCGTATTGCAAACCCCAAGTAATGTACCTCTGGTATCAATGAAAATTAAACTAAACTTTTACATTAAACCATAGATAACATTTCTGTGCTGGAAAATTTTGTACTCTAAAGGCTTTCAATTTAATGTCAGAAAGTCTGACAATGCAGTACATGCTTTGAAACTGTGGATAACATATTTGACAGTGTGTTGGACACCAAGGCAGTCAGTTGGGACATCCACTGACACTGTGATAGTCACTGTCACATGTTATCTCAACCTGTAAAATAACAGTAATACCAAATCCTATTCATATCGGCAAAATAAAACTACTGTATTTTCTGTATTAGAGCTGCATCTCTAATAGTTGCACACAAATTGCATTTATTAGTTGGTGGATCATTAAAATATAATTCATGTTGACCACACACACTATCATTTAGCACATGTGCTACTAATAAAGCAAATACTGTAATAAAGTTTGAAAAAAAAGATAAAATCAAACATTTTTTCTGTTTAAAGCGCGTTGGTTTTCACGCCACGCCCTGTTCGATATGGGACTCATTGCGACATATACTGTAAAAGGGTTAATTATTCAATGGGTTTTAATTTTGCTTATTTCGCTGACTGGAAAATGCGCATATAAATTAAAACCCAGTGAATATGTAAAATTTAGCATAGAACACATTCTCTAAATGACGAAACCGTGAATTTAAAACCCCCTGAATATGCCTGAAATGGTAAATTAGTGAAATTTAAACCCAGTGAAAATTAGTCATTTTAAAGTACAACCACATGTAAAAGACATTGTTTACAATAAATTTGAACACGGGTAGCATGACTGTTCCTGCCCTTCAATATATGACTTGCTGAAAACCTCCATGGATAATAAAAATGAATGTGAAAAATAGCTGGATATGTGTTGAACTGTTTAATTTAAAATATCAAACCATCATTGCAAATTCCAAATACAAATTATTTTATATTAATAAAGTTACTGCTCAATGCAAGTGTTAAATTATTGACTGAATAAAAAACTGACAATTTTATTATTGTTACTAAAAATAATTCTAACAGCTGTCAGTCATTTTATTGACATGTATGGTCACATGCCAGTAATTATACTTAACGAACATAGCATGCATTGTTTAACAGTTTATGTATCCAAACAATAGATGTTAAACTACTGAATAAATACAATAGTAATTTCACCCTGTTCCATACTTTCACAATATGGGATGTAATGTAATTCGTCTAATTGCTACCTGTATGTGTGAAAGGAATTGTTGACTTGCTCATTTGTTTGATTTTGTTGGGTTAAAAAATCACCTTGTGGCTTTCCCTGTGATTTTTCATTTGGTTACTAGATTCTGATAAATCTCTTTTTGCTGGGGACTTTTCTGTCAACCTGTTTTAAGGGGCGGTGGTATGTGCAAGATATGGGTCTTATATGAACATCGATGGTGACTTTGATTGTTGCGCAGACAAATGAGTGCAAACTGAGACGTTACCATGCTTTAATTAATTTCTTTAGTGATAGGAAAGTATCAAAGGAGTCACGGGCAGCAATTAGTGCACGTTGTGCTGAGGTCAAAACTCTTTGTGTTTTCCATTAGAAGAGTGCATTGGATTGTGGGAAAATCAATGTTTATCAATACAAATGTTGCACATGTGCGACACAACGACCACCGTCCTTTAATGCTACAATCTGAGATCATTCATAAGCTAGCTGTGATGTAAATATTTGATGATATGAATATATGCAAATTGCCGGAGTTCTTTGAAGATTCCCTCAGATTCTTTGTTGTTTTCTGTAGTTTTACTGTGAGTCTCAAATAGCGTTTGTTTTAAATGACATTATTACGCATTAAGGAATGTAAATAACTACTGATTCAGACAAACAAACGAGTGAACAAAATTATTTAAGAATTTGATTATTTAAGAAAATTCACAGGAACAAGTTGCCTAAAGAATCGCAGTGGAAATTTCATTGATGTATTTTGAAATTTTAAGAGATTGACTTTTTGAATATCAAATTCAATAGTCATCTTTCTTTAACAAAAAATAAATTGATCAACAGGAACTTATGTCTATTTGGCCCAAAAAAATTTAACAAGAAAAATACACAATACTGTGTTGAATGTTGCATCCAATTTTGTACATAAAAACAATTGCATTTAAAGTAAGCAGTTTAAAATATTGTCAAAATAGTACAAATACTTGATTTTAGTGAATATGAATTTGCAATGCTGAATTAATAAAACCTAATTTAGCTAGAATGCCAATAGTCTCATTGTAAGAAAAGATGTTTTGCTAAATTTGCTTCACCATGACCTCTCTTCCCCCAAATGAGCTCAACAAAAATGGTTAACAATATTGTTTTCATCATTTTGTTGCTACAGATCACGTCAAAGTCCACAGAAAAAAGATTTCAGTCCCGACTACAGAGCTACAGTGAGAAGACAAACCACAACGGATAAGAAACGAACGCCCCCGACTTTGGAGAGGACGATGTTCCGATCACCAACAAACAATACTGCACTTCCCAGTGAAGAGATGAAGATAAGCCCTGCTCAGAGATCATTAAATTTTGGTATTTCTCCAGAACGTTCGCGATTAAAAGAAACATTTCAGTTTGTCGATCCTTCTACAGAGAATGGCCAGTCATATGATGCACTAGCAAAGACTTTAACCGATAGTTGTGATGAAGAGTGTAGCAGCAGTAACCATGGTTACCATCGAGTATCTCCAGTTAAAAGGAACTTGGGTGAGCTGACAAAGGAGAATCTTGAAGAGTTTAATAAAAAGTTTCCGAGTGAAAAAGTAGATGAATATAGTTATATGCTGAGCAGGGAAAAACCGCTTTTCTCAGAAAACCTTCTTGGTTCACCGATTAACGGTAGAAATGCTACTACGCTAAGCAGTGGTACATTGACGCCAGGACATTCTCAGCATTCCTCGCCAGTGAAAAACGATCTGAAAACTGTGACGTTCGCACATGATACTCACAAGGAGTACTATTATGACCCGAATTCTCGAATTCAAAGCGATTCCAAAATCAGCTCGGACAAGCTACCTGATTTTACGAATCATACAACCTTACTAGATCATGATTATGTTGATGATGTAACCAGGGAAACAGAATTTGATGATGAATTTAGCATGCCAATGAACAGTCAATTTGGTTTGCATCGAAGTACTGTCCAGAAACCCTATGATTGGGCCGGTACGATTGAAACAACTATGGATGACATTGTATCACTGACTTCAGGGTCGACATCAACAGTGACGTCCCAGGACGAGAGACAGTTTCGACAAGGTCTCGCTAACCTTGACGCTGACATAGCAAGGTTGCAGAGCCATCTAAGGCAAATGAAACACTCGTAAGAACGCTGCTCTGAGACAATAGAGGGCGACATTTAGCGTCTACACTTGGTTCATGTCTGCCATTGCTGGCTGAAAATAATCTTACACTTTATATTCAATGTAAATAATGCAGCTCTGTTATGGAAAAGAGTGATATACTGTGAACTGCTTTATTTTCAATCTTTGGAATTGTCACGATTTCATGATTCATGACATTCGAGAAGTCAAAATTATGGTTCCTGAATAATTGTCACTGCTACAACATTGGCCGATTTTCACTGATTTGCAATATTATTGATTGCATATCACCTGGCACTAACATAATTAAACTATTTTCCAAATCTTGCATTGACCTCATATCATTTAACTGTTTTTTTTGTGTGTTTTTTTAAAGTTATAAAATCAATCACATTTTTTTTTTCATAAATCATTTTTTTCACAGATTATTTATTATGATGAATTTTGTGTATTTATAAAACTAATAATATAATTAGTAGAACTGAATTTCAACATATCAAAATTTTTCATAACACATCTGCTAACAATCAAAACTTAACAGTATTATCCATTTTTTTTAACGGTTAAACGAAGTACTAACAATGATCAGTCATGTAGTTTCACCTATCAGCCGATGTTAAGTCAACCGACGAATTAAAATTGGCTAATTACAGCCAGTCATGTAATTTACCCTTAACTCGTGAAGACATGAATGTTTTTATATGAAATATTTAATAAATACCGGTAATGAATGCTTTTACCATAGATTGAAGATGTTGATGTGGTCGACATGGACTTACACATCTGCGTCATCTGCATAGCAACGATGCTTTGCCACGAAATTAATGTCTTAGCTTTTAACCACCAGACTTTCTTCTTCAATATTTCTGGAAATAAAAACCTAATTTTGGAGCCAACAGACAAACTTTGAGTAAACTTTCAGTTTTCACTCAAAAAAAAAATTTGGCCATTTTTGTTCTAATCTACTGAAGGACAGTGCAAACTATAAACAAGACTATTTTGTTAATTGTGATGAAAAGGGGGAACTGGTGGTGAAAAGGTTAATCAATTTTGATAAATAAATGACTTTGACTGGGATATCTGTAGTCCAATATATTATCTAATCACTGATATATATATATATTCATCGATAATATAAACATTGAACAAAATTCGGTGTCTGTCGTGTTGTCTGAGATCGCTGTCGATAATTCATCATAATTTTTGGTTCTTTGATGCCTGATCCACCAGTGATCGTGATTTTCTTGGAGCCATGATAACTCATAAGGGTCAAAATTAGTCCTGTCCATCTGTCCTAGACAGGTAAATTTTAGCTGTGTACTGGCGGAAAAAGATATAAAGTTTTTTACTATCTGAATATAAAGTGGAGTTGTCCCAAACTGCTAATGTCCAGAAAATTATTTTCAGAGTTTTTAAGACTTATGAAATTGTGATGAGCCAAGAAACATGAATTTTATTTCGAATAATATGTTTGATATTATCTTGCTAGGGACAAGTACATCTACCATTTTGGTAGGACAGTCACTTTTATTCACTAACCTGTTCAATGGATTAGCAAGTGTTAATTTTGAATTTTTAATATATCAATCTTTATAAAATATTCTGATTCAAGTCTATTTCTTGTTTGTTTAATTTGTGTCATGCATAACACAAATTAAAATTCATTTGGCTTCTATTGAATTACACTCCATATATCTGTTTTCTTTTTGCAAATCAAAGCATACAGTGAATTTCATGAAGGCATGCTTCACTCAAATTCCAAAAATACTGTAAAATACTTTATTTTCGCTTGGAATTAATTTTAGGGAAAATAAAATCCAGCGAATATACCTTTTTTCCTATATTTTATATTCAACTTAGTCAAAAATCAGTGGAAATAAATTCCATACAAAACACCCAAAAAGTCTTTCAGCGAAAATTAATTCCAGCTAAAATAAAGTATTTTATAGTACATTTGGCGATGGAAGCCATTACTCGCGACTCTTTGCTGTTTTTTTTCAAGCATTGGTCACTTTATTGCCATCCATCCATCAATGTTTTGTAATTGGTCAAAGTTATTTTCAATAATTTGAAATATATGAAACATTAAAAAAAAAATCGTTCATGTTCTCATGAAATTCACTGTAGAAGTTTCATGTTCATATCATATTCATGATACTGTCTGAAAATGAGGACTGTTTGACAGGTGAATGCTTGCAAAGTGGGATAATGATCGACTCATGAATATTCCTGAATGCCAAATATGTACAAGCAGCCCAAACATCATTGACCAATATTAAAGCTGACGATAACAACACACTCTAAAATTGCAAAGGCTCAGGGATAGACTCTTGTTTGTAAACAATGACACAATGGCTGTAGTGTGTGTTATCAATTTGTGCGCGTGTGCAGGAGACGACCCTCCCGCTTTAAGCTCCAGGTAGCTTTGTAATCTATTGCTAGTGTCTCCTCCGACCACTAAAGAAGTGTCTTTTGTGGTCTGAGGTGTCTTGTACTGCTACTTTCCTTACATATGTCACATGATTTATTAAAGTCAATTTACAAACATTTGACTTCATCATAGTTGCCGTTTGAATGACAGAAACAGGACATGTATTGTATACCAAATCCTAGTAGATGGAACAGGACAAGATAGATTTTGAGGTCCTATATTTTCTTTAGACCTTATTTTTGCAATTTTTCTCGTTGAAGTTGCATAATATTCTTTCTAATTTCAAGCTTTTTATATTCAAATAAGTCTGAATCGAAGTGTTTTTAGTAGAAATAATATTTGTCAATGCCAAACATGACACCCCCTCCTCCGTCGGCCAGAGCTGAATGACACTGAACCTATCTGCTATTATTCTCGGTCGCACGGCTTACGCGCCCTCGCAAGCTCGGGCGCTTGTGCCGCACGACCTCGGGCCGCAAAAGTCGTATCCAGTCCATAAATGTTTTATCATACACCTTACAAGTTTAATTAAAATTTTTCCCACGCCGTGATCTCAAACACACGACGTAATTTAGAATAACGCATTTTGTTTTGAATGATGATACAGGAAATTATTACTCTGGTGTGAGGGCACACTTCCTATAGCGTTACGAGGCCGGGCAATACGAAGTATTAGAATTAACATATTATTCTATTAGAGAGTCCTGTTCCCAGAATAGATGAATGGAAGACACAAACCTTGGTATAACCAGTGAAGATGGAAAATTAATCACACAATTTCCCTTACAATCATTGTCTTGATAGTGCTGGATTAATCACATACAAGAACGAAAGAGGATATCATTAGTTGATCAATAATGTGTTTTTTTTTTTTCAGAATACCGATACACAAAAAGTCATTAATAATTGATGTAAATAGGATAATGAGTCATTTGTGTTACATAGTAGCAAATAAAACATAACAGAAAATATTCGGAAGTTAGTATGTAAAAATAATAACTTTTTATTGCATTCTTAGAAATATGTTTCTATCAGTTAATAGCAATAAAGATTAGTTGTGATAACTACTACCATAAAAGGGAAGACAGTTGTTAATGAGATAAAGCAAGTGTTACATATCATTTTCATTTCTTGATTGAAATGCGTTATAAATATAGTTGCCTGTCTTTTTTATTATTACAACATTTTTTGAAGTCATCAAGAAATTAAATTTCTGGAGATCATCCTGTGTTTCTTGTGGAAATGTAATGTTTTGTATGATTTGTTGGCGTATATAACAAAGTGCAATTTATCTTCTCTTTCATTCTGTGTACATTTTTTGCAAATTCTGATTTCAGTAGGTATTTTTGGTTGCGTATGTCTCCCTTTTATATTGCTAAATTGTGATTGCTGGTTCTACAGCTTGTCATTGAATTTCTCTGTTTTAAATTCAAAACATCCAATTATGTATGTGCGTATAACCAAAACATGTTTTTAACTTACAGTAAATCAGCAGCAAATGTTTGCATCGTCAAACATAAGTACTACTTATCCCCGATTATTTGGAGATATGTAAGTTTACGACGCGAAGTAGGAAGTAATTTAAACCACACGACTTGGTGAATACTGGTAGGTGTTGTAGTATCAATGTTACCATGAAATGTCTATGAACTGAAAAATAGTTTTTATTTGCGACAATTTTTCATTATTCATAATCATTTATGATAATAATGTGTATTATAACCGTACGTGTAGAAATTACAGTTCTTTGGTTTGTGGATAGACTACATGTGTGTAATATGAAACTTTAAAAAATCTACAAATGATTGGAAGGGCATTCTGAAAGGTTGGACACCATGCTATAGTTTGTTAATATAATAGTTTGATTTTTTTATATTTTTTATTGGTTATACAAAATATAAATACCTGTTATGAATAGTACCGTCATTTGTATTTCTGATAACATGTTTAGGTAGATATGGTTTGTTCTGTCATGTTTGAAATCGTTGTGTTGAGAAATCTTTGTATTTTCTGTTTCACTTGTATATATTTAACAGTGTATTATGAAATCTATTTCGTCTTTCGTTTTCTGTTTTGGTCAGCTGGTGTTTAGAACGCGTATTTCTTCAATTTCAGACTATCATGAAGGTAGCTTAATTTTAGTTTGGATAATGTTTTATGATTTTTGTTAACACTAGTATGCTATATATGTGTCAGATTGTATTTTTTTTCCTTCAAAACCCTCTTCGTAACTTGGGTACCAATTTGCTTTCATAGACAAATAACAGTCTAAGAGTCTCTAGGCACGACACCGTGGGTCCAGAGTACTAGTAACTTCTCGGATGACTTCACCCATATATAACTACATTTTTGTATTAATGTGTTTTTTTGTTTTTGTTTTTTTTTAATCCTCAATAAATCTTTTTTTTAAATCCTTTTTATGGGCCAATATTGGATGTCATAAAAATTGTCATTCCCATTCGAATCAGGCCTATTAATTCATGGAGGTATACCTCATTACATGGGCAATTCCGAAAAGTAAATTAGGCCGCCCTCTATTTAAAACAACATTTTTTTATTACCTGCTGCACCTTCAACTTGTTTACTTGCATTGTCATAATCGCGTGGCTGTAATCATCATATTGTGTGCGCGTGACTTTCTGAATCATCTCCGATGGCCTTTGATCTAGAGTCCCGTAAAGCAAGAAAAACACATGCAGAACAGAAAAAATAATACGAGCTTCCATTATTGCCTGCCATTTTGCTGCAATGCTCAGAGGCCTGGCGAATAACATTAAATTTTAAATTAAACAAATTCAACGATCGTAGTAATTGTTTTTTCACGGAAATGTGATGATTTCGTTGGGGGATTCTGTGGTAGTGTTATTATATCAAGTTTTGTTATTCGCGTAAATAGATAAACGCATGTGATGAATACGCAATTCACTATTTATAGATCGCCTACGCGTAAAAAAATAGTCCACTAGAATTTATTGGAATGGGTGTAATATACTTTAACGACATTTTAGATAATAAAGTGATATTTTCATTTTTTATTATTTTTTTAAAAATATATCGCGAAAAGTTTATTTACGCATGGATTTGCAAATATAACATCGTTTGACATTTTGGCGGAGGGATATTACTGTGAAGGGCAAATCGAATCACGCATCACGCGGGCTTCATTTTGTTGTAAGCTCAGTGGCTAGAAGGTCTGGGAACTGTTATCCATACGTTGCTTGAATTTTCGTCGTTTGCGACACATTAACAGTCAAGATGGTTGAAGGTGGCATGAAAATTGTGAAATATCTAGTTTTCTTCTTCAATTTCTTATTTTGGGTAAGTGTTACTGCTTTTTTGGGGGGGTTTACACAAACGTGGACACTAGTCAGCTGTTTACGTGATATTTAATTGCACAGTCACTGTCACAAGACTGGCCGTTGGCCGTTTTGCATTTGTTAGCCGATTTAAACATATCGTCTCGTCTCTTCTGAGCAAGTTTGTGTTTGACATCAAGTAAGACGTATACTATGACGGCATTTTGTGATAGACCTTGTGTGGATAAATCGTTTGCCAGGGCTGGATAGTCATTTTGCAGACGATTTCCTCAAATTATGTCTGATTCTTTTGTGACTTCCTACAATAGGAAAGTGGGCAGGGCTACCTGTGTAAGTTAACACAAGGGTTCGTTATATTGCCAATACAAGCCACGTATACAACCTAGACAACAGAGCTAGGTTTCCGAAGAATAGAGTCTTTGTTTCACAAACCTTGCTTGGTCGACAAGAGGTACATGGTTTTCCGTTTCGCCGTCAGTCGCGGTTCGTCGTATCGACCCCTGACAAGGCTTGTGCACACTTAAAAATAGTATGTTTACACTGTAAATCCAAAACCGCTTATGTGCAGTTCCCGTAATACATAAAATCGCGAATGTGACAATGTGACTCGTCATATTTAACTTTTTACTTCGAAAAGCGCATCAGTAGTTAGGCTACATTGGGCAGGCATTGTCAAATTTACATACTTTGACATAGGAGTTAGTGTAATGATGCGTGGTTAATCTCATACGACACATTGTTCTACCTTGTAATGCTATCTGAAACACGAATGCATCTGTTACACCATTTTTCGGATCCTGTTTTTTTATGATTTTTAAAATTACAGCACTGCACTAAACTGGTTCCACCTAGTAGCAGTGATACCTCTTCCTGAAGGCGTCACTACTGAACTTTGTATCATTATGTTATTATCAGCTTTTGAAATGATACACAACAACCGCATTAGATTTTGAAAACATAAATTTGTTTCACATGATTTGAATTGGCCAATGGGTGTTCTAGAATTTATGTTTTCATTTGTAGTAACCAAGTTATGGCAACTTGTAAGATCAAAGTACCATCAATTTTGAATACAACTTAATTCAGAGCATCTACTCACTAAGTGTTTCCTTGGGTGAGAATTCCTCAGTTTACATCAGTCATGGTAAAAATTAGATAAATCATTGTCACTGCGCATAAACCACTCAAGATGGTTTGCTGCTCACGAAAACATGCCTTCAGACTGACAGATAGATCTGAGACACTATCGAAACATTCCACGATAAACACTAACCCTGAAGTTACGATAAGTGGTAAATAAATAGCTGTATACTTGGCTTTTTCAGTTGGCTACTTTGTATTTTTATGACTTGCATGAAATTTCTATAGAAAAGCTTGCTTTCTGGAATTCTACTTTTTAAATCTACTTGAGTACTTAGCAAAATTCCTTTTGACGATTGTTTCACAGACTCGCTCATTCAGTACAACTTGAACTGTGTTATGTGATTTTGTTTTCATCTCGTGTGATTTCATCAATTCACATGAGATCATCTCATACCACATCACTTTTATACCCAAATCTTATAAATCTGTGAAACTATGTAATATAGGTCATTTAGTCGTATGGCTATTAAACAAAACCTTTTATGCTTTTTCACTTTTTCTGCAAATAAAGAATTTATCCTGTCACAGAATATTTACCTTGAGAATCTGTAGCAAAAGATTAAACATCCTATAACCGAAGAGAGAATATTTTGCTTCAAATTTCTTACTTAAAACCAATAGTAATATTAACTAAATTCACTGAATTTAGAAAATTTACTTTTTCAGTATTTTCAAGTTGTCATAAAGTGTAAACAGATGGTACTTTGGTGCAACTGTCTATAATTATGATAACTTATTGTAACTCACTTTTTCATCGTTTTTCAGTTTTGACAAAATGCAAACAGATGTTGATGTGAATGTCAATAATTATGAATAATGATGTATTTTAACAGACAATTGGAACAAACTATTTTGCGAGAGGGAATGTTCCCACCAAATATGAACGAGACTAACCACTTGTTGCTAGTTTAATTCATCTACTCGTTATTGATAGAATTATATTATTATGATATCAATATCAAAATGATCTTGTCACAGATGTTAACATTATGTCCAATGTATTATGGTATCTACAGTAGAATAATTAATTTTTCCTGGTATTTAATTATTTCACTTTATTGATAATACATGTACAGGCATATTCATCGATTTTAAATTCATTAATTTTCTATTGTAATTTTACATGTTCACATGGATTTAATAGCAGGTTTTGGTATTTATTTTTTAATTATAAAAAAAAAAAAAATTCAGAATTTATATCTGTTTTGGCTATCAGTTTTTGTTTCAAATCAATAACCCCCCTTCCTCCCTAATAATTTTTAACATCCAAGGTGCAATTACCTATCCAAACCTTAAACAAAAGATTATTAAATAACAATCTGTTACATGTATTTTAGATGTTGACTGATCACTAAGTGGTGATATAACAATGTCCTTGCTGTGATGATCAATATTGATGTAATGTAAGCTATGACATCACAGCTGGCACAAATTTAATAAAAGGCTATTTTGAAAATGATTAATTACTAAATATAAGTTATTCAAAACCTTTTATTTTCTGAGGTAATTATTTCCTCTTGCCAAGGCATGCTGGGTAACTACTGTTAATTGTTAATATTACTATTTAACATGTAATGTCAAAAATACATGAATAGAAGTTATTTTCCATTGCTTACTAGTCTTGGCCAAAATGTATAAAAATGTCAAATAAATTTGCTGGTTTATTGATGAAAAATGTCAAAGTTGATTTCAGTGTTCAAAAGTTGAATCGGATTTTAAATTTATTATGGACTCGTTCTGTCTGCAGTACGCCCACCCTGATACAATCATTTATGTTTATTGTACCCCCCACTCTGAAGATGTCACCAAATAAGATTATGCCCAATCTAAAATTAACACTATCGTACTGTGACACTGTTTTTGTCAGTATTTTTTATTTGTCCGAGGCAACTTCTGGATAATGAATACACATGAAAAATGAAGCAGATGTATTTCCTTGTTATTAGCATTTACACACCTGATAAGGTTAAAGAGAGAATTTTTTTTAGTCCACGGGCCCATCAGTTCAAAAGGAATTTCCCATAACTTTTTTAAGGGATTTATGCAGTTAAATAAATTAAAGAAAAACGGCAAAATGTGCTTTTTCAGTACCAGGACTATTTTTTTCAGCCTAATACTATATTTAATGTAAGTGGGGTCAAGGCATGTAGTGTAGTTTCCTGTTCTCTTCTGAATTCAAATTCTTGCATAATATAATGAGTATATTTTACGGAATGAAACTGCATTCAGATACATTCAAAATACATGTAATTTTACATGTATCTCATGTTTTGAGGCCAAAAACTCTTGTGGGGAGATGGGGCGGGGGTCAATGCACTATTTACATGAATAGTGACCTTGTTATCAATGATATATTTATTAGTCCATTTGTCAATACAGTCAATCAGGTACAATCTGTTAACAACAAAATTAGTTCAAGATAATCTAATGAATTTATTTATGCATTTTCAGTTATGATCTTCAGTACATTACAATAAGTGCCCACAGATTTTCTACCACAGATGTCTTCCACATGCAAAGCTACCACAGGTGTCTCCCCACATGCAAAGCTACCACAGGTGTCACCCACATGCAAAGCTACCACAGGTGTCTCCCCACATGCAAAGCTACCACAGGTGTCACCCACATGCAAAGCTACCACAGGTGTATCCCACATGCAAAGCTACCACAGGTGTCTCCCATATGCAAAGCTACCACGGGTGTCTCCCACATGCAAAGCTACCACGGGTGTCTCCCACATGCAAAGCTACCACGGGTGTCTCCCACATGCAAAGCTACCACGGGTGTCTCCCACATGCAAAGCTACCACGGGTGTATCCCACATGCAAAGCTACCACGGGTGTATCCCACATGCAAAGCTACCACGGGTGTCTCCCACATGCAAAGCTACCACGGGTGTCTCCCACATGCAAAGCTACCACGGGTGTCTCCCCTGCATGCAAAGCTACCACAGGTGTCTCCCCGCATGCAAAGCTACCACAGGTGTCTCCCCGCATGCAAAGCTACCACAGGTGTCTCCCCCGCATGCAAAGCTACCACAGGTGTCTCCCCCGCATGCAAAGCTACCACAGGTGTCTCCCCGCATGCAAAGCTACCACAGGTGTCTCCCCGCATGCAAAGCTACCACAGGTGTCTCCCCGCATGCAAAGCTACCACGGGTGTCTCCCCGCATGCAAAGCTACCACGGGTGTCTCCCCGCATGCAAAGCTACCACGGGTGTCTCCCCGCATGCAAAGCTACCACGGGTGTCTCACAGTTGCATTTAAAGTTTTCACACAATAATTTTGATTTGTACTGTATTAGTTCTACACTGGGTTTCATGAAGACGTGAATTTGTTTTATGAATATTTATGAAACATTAATCTGAAAAGGTCTATGCGCTTCATTCAGATCTAGATGCTTTCATTGGATGTAGAATTTATTTAGTATTGCCCATTACTCACAAGTATTTGGGCAGCTTCATTGGCCAATTTACGACCATGAACGTAAAAGATAAATCTCATCAAATTTAGTTTCAAATAAATTAAAAAATACAAGTACAAGTAGTACCATAATTTGGCACAAAACGTTAAATTGCGAAAGCGAGTCATTGACAAACGAGAGGTTAAAGGTAACTAACCGCAGAGAATTTCTATAACAAGTACGGTAGTATTCATCCACTAAGACTTGTGATTGGTCAAGTTTTTTTTCAATTTGAAATTTATAAATATTTTCTAGAAAACAAATTCATGCCTTCATAATGTCAAACATAATTCTAAAGCATTATAGTCACTACCCTATGTGTGGGTCCCATGCAAAAAACTCTTGACACAAAAAAAACACCTTTTTTGTGAACACAATATTTGACAAGACTGCATC